TGTGTGTGTGTGTGTATGTGTGTATGTCTTAGCACTAGAGAGGGATCAATCACTGGGATGGTGAGAGAGATGAGGAAGTAATGAAATACACGTGGCAAGAAAGCAGATTATTTTGGGGAAGGATGCAAACCAGCCAGGAGATCAGGGAACATGGGAGAAGGCTGTGGGGAAGGATGATCAATTGGAAGTGTGTATGATGACACATGTATACGGAAATAGCAAGATGAACCCATTGTTTTGTATACTAACTTGAAAAAATATTTTTAAAGAGAAGACCCTTTGGTGTGTGGAAGTTGAGCAAATGCATGCCCCTGCCAATGCGCACCTGGGGTTGTTTGGAACCAGTGCGTTCACTAATGGCTCCGAGGCTCTCTTCCTGCTACTCCACCCATGTTAGCCAGCTTTGAGGCTCTATGACAAAATGCTGGAGCCGGACAATCGAAGGGAGGGAAGGTTCGTTTTGGCCCACGGTTTCAGCCACAGCCAGCTGACTCCTTTACTGCTACAGCCAGGGCAGGGTGGAAACATTATGGACGGAGGACATTGCAGAGGAAAGCTGTCCTCATGAGAGACAGGATGCACAGGGAGGTTGGGGGTCAGGGCCAGGCAGACCTCCAGTGACTCGCTTCCTCTAACTAGGTTCAACCTCCCAGTGTTTACATCACTTCCGAATAATGCCATCAGTTCAATCCGGTGACGAGCCCAAAGCCCTCATGATTCAATCACTTCCCCAAATTCCCACTTCTGTACATAGTTGTATTTGTGGACCAGACCTTCAAGAAATGAACTTTTGTGGAACATTTTAGATCCAAGTCATAACACGCCCTAAAGTTCAGAAGAAAAAATCTGTCACCCTTAGTTGGTTTTTAAGATCCAGGCCGAACATGTGTGATATCTCTGAAGTCGGAGGGCTTAAAACATGAGAAGAAAGTGACATAAAAGATGCCTTCTGACCTCACTGAAACTTCTCTGCTCAGTCCTCCTCAAGGAAGCCAGACCTCCCTTGAACAAACAGAGAGGAGCGATTCTCTCCTTGCCAAGGAAAGGTTTATAATATGTAAAAGAATGTTAAGTATATGTTCCAGGGCTGTCAGTAATAAATTCTTAAACTCTCATCACATAGATCTTGAAGGAACAGATTTAGATGACAATACTTAAGACAATATTAAAGTAACTCAAGTTTAATTTAGCGTATGGGCGATGCACCACTCGACAGCAGCCCTTGCCCTGGGGACGGTTAGACGGTGAGTTCCCGAAAGTGGTCTCACTCACAGCATCTGAGAGTCTATTGAATCTCGCTCTTTGGTACTTGGTTTGTTTCTTTTGAGACTCTACAATGGAATGTGTGAGTCTTTGTGTTTGGCTCATGTTTTACCCTCAGTCAATGCTAAACGGCAACCATGCACACAGCACACGTGTCGGGGCTCACAAGCACGCTAACCTTTGAGCGTGTGTACACAAACCGAGAATACGGTTGGCTGTTGAGAAGCTGTATAGACCCCCTCCCCACAAAAGTGTAGCGGACATCTGGAGGGTTTTCTGGAATCTGGTATGAGCCTTGGGCACATCTGTGTGTTCAATTTCCAATCCTGTTTTTAACTTCTTTGTTACAACATGAGCAATCACGGCCCTCTCTCCTGCCAGGGCTCATATCCTGCCTCTTCCTGTGGAGTTTTTTTAATCCACCTCTATCTTTTACTGTACTTTGTTAGGTAGCTGACTCTCTGTGTTAGTTAGCTTGCGCTGTCTTAACAAAGTATCACACAGTATGTGGCATAAACAATACAGATTTATTTCCTCATAGTTCTGGAGACTAGAAATCCAAGGGCAAGGCATGGTCTAGGCTGGGTTCTTCTAGAACTCTCTCCTCTGTAGCTGCCTGCCTTCCCTTGCTTCTTTGACAATCTTCTCCCTACACCCACCTGTGTCCAAACGCCTCATCCTAGGATATCAGTCATGTCAGATTAGGACCCACCCTAGTGACTTGAATTTTAATTGCTTCCTCCACTCCCTACCATCCATGACAGCTACATCCTGAGCCTGTAGAAGTTGAGATTTAAACATACGAATTTCGCAGAGACGCAGTTTATCCCCCAATACCCTCAACTCATGCCTCCCTTTCATCCTTGTGGCATCTTGTTTATTTACCTGTTGTTCCTGAACTACTACGTTGGAAGCCAAGAAGTGGGGATGGAAGGAAGGAAGGTGTGGGAGAAGCTGCAAGAACTAGGCATGACCTATTTCCAGGTGAGGTGATTCTGCAACTGAACACACTAAGATCAGTGTCCTGCAGCGGAGGGTACTGTTGAAGCACACTTACTGAGAAAATGTCTTCAAACTTACCAGGGCTGCCCAACTGGGAAAATTGCCATAACTCATGAACGCTCTCTTAGAGAACGTTAGTAACAGACTAAAGGGCATAGGCTTTATCTGCTCCCAGGAGGTATTTTTGTGTCAGGATAAATATGGTCTCTTTGGCCTGGAACACGCACCCAGAGATGTTCAGTGATCAGAAAGCCGGTCCCCAAGCTCCCACACAGCCCTTTGACTGACTGTCTTTGCTCTGTTCTCTCCAGAGGCCCATGCAAAGCAGGGTTTGCTGTTGTTTTATCCAACTGTGCAGCCCTGTGATGTGGGCCTCTCAAAGTCACCCCGCTCAGCTGGGCAGTGTTTCAAGGGATCAGGAAGCTGTTTTCCATCCCAGGAGCCAGCCTCAAAGTTAGAAAGTTCTGTGGTTTGGTTTGGATTTCACTCTTCCCTACAGAGCACTGGATCTGCCAAGCTCTACATACATGTCAGGATAAATAGCAACAGATGCACCTTCAACATGGAAAACTCTCCATAAAATATAACCAACTCTGTTTTTCCATTTGAGATGAGTCATTAACCATATGTTTGTGATCGTCTTTCATTTGCAGATCTGAGGCACACATTCTACCTTGGAACAGGCCAAGCACAATTTCTTTTTAGGAGATCCCTTCCCATCTCAAGAACTGATTCACTAATGCCTCGCTCTATTTCTGTGGGTATCTTGAATAAGCACATGGAAAATGTATGGAATTTTCTTTACGTGAGCTCCATGGTGTGCCTGGGCTCTGCCCTCAGAACTATTCCTGGCTAGGATATTTCAAACCTGCTCTGGGGCTCTGAGTACTATTCATATGCCAGCTCCCAGGCTGGCTTCTTGGAGTAGTGTGTGCTGATTTCAATGGAGTTTGTATGGGCAGCTTTTATGACTTCAGAAAGAGAAATGTGACATTTCGTGAGGCTGCAGGCAGGGCAGACTGAAGCTGGGGAATTACAGGGTGTCATTCTGCAGAGAGTTAGAGGGTCTTTGTGTGTATCTGTGTGGATGAGTTGTATGAAAGTCTTCTGCACTTTGGTCTCGGAAAGTAAACTCCCTTTGGGGAATTTTACTTCCTATCAAAGTTAGTATTTTCTTGGAATTTAAACATTTCTCCCTCTTAAAAAAAAACATTATTTTGTGTGCAGTGTCTATAAAGGTCAGTAAAAGGTGTCAGATTTCCTGAAGCTGGGGGTCCAGACAATTGTGAGCCACCGTGTGGGTGCTGGGAACTAAATCTGGGTCCTCTGCAAGAGCAGAAAGTGATCTTAGCTACTGAACCCTCTCTCTCGTCTCTACATGCTGCTCTTCTGCAATGGAAGTGCATTTTCTTTGATAGATTCCTAAAATACACAAACTACGGATCATAATATTAGAACAAGATTGCCCCCCTGATTCTCCGGATTCAACAATTATCATCATTTTATTACACTTGCCTTATTTATTGTTTTTCCCCTTTCTTAAAAAGGTACTTTAAAAAAGAACTCCAAAATGTCATTTAACACTGTGCTTATTTTAATAAAGATATCACCCTGTAAACATACTATTATTTTCATAATGAACAAAATTAACAATAATTCCTCCTATCATCTAGCACTGAGTCTGTATTCAAATTTCTTGGATTATCTCAAATATATTACTTTATAGTCTCTCTGTTTAAATCTGGTTCTAATCAATGCACACATGATTTATTTGGGGATGTTTATTTTCAAGGACTCTTCGTGTGGGTTTCTTCCAAACAGACCTTGTGATCTGGATTTGGGTGTGAGTATTTTAACATGGGAGCCAGGCTTGGGAGCAGACATGAGAGACTAGGAGAGCTGAGACAGAGCAGGATGAAAGGCCATGGGAGGAAAACTGCATTCGTGAGTGACCCTGGATGAGCGTGGTCTATTAGTCAGTCAGCTTTTCCAATCACTGCAGCAAACACCTGATGAAGGAAGGACTTGTGGTAGTTCACGGTAGGAGATGGTTCAGTCCATGACTGCTTGGGACAACATCATGGTGATCAGATCTTCATCTCATTGTGACAGAAAATAAGAGGGGAAGGGGAGGAGAGGGAGGGGCAAATTTAGTACAAGAAATCCCAAAGGGCACATCCAAAAAGACCTGCACCTCCTGAAGGTCCCAGAACATACCAAAATAATGCTGTCAGCTGGGACCTAAGCCCATAATACACAAGCCTTTAGAGGGAACATTTCCATCCAAACCATAACCTGGGTGTTGATGCTGCTGAAGACATTCTGAGCAGCCGTGGAACATGCTGGGCTGTGTCAGCTGTGGTGGGCTGTGTGAATTTTTCCTGTCCTGACCCTCACCCCCTTTCTTGCTGCTTCTGGGCAGCCCTGCCCAGAAAGGGATGGAGCAATTATGATTCCAGGAGAAAATAAGAGACAGAAGTGGAAGGTCCTGGTATGGAGCTGCTAGACACAGCCATCGAGGACGGGAATATTTCATGATGGCTGTTCAGAGTTTAGGGGTGGAGCAGCGATGCCTAGAACAGGACAAGGGTCTGTACATTCCCCTTCTTCCTTCACTGTCTTGGATTCGGTGACATTGACTTATTGTGCTATACAGTTCCCCACATCTGGCACAGAGCTGTATTGTTTCCTAATTGGAATCTGAGATGCAGACCCCTTCCCCCACCCCTGCATTCCCTAGAACCTGAAAGCTGGAGCCAAAGTCTTGATCAGAAGCCATCTTGAGAGTTCAGGAAAATGTCTGAGCAGTTGGCACCAAGGTGAACTCCACCCCGCCACCCAGGTTCATCTCCTTCCACTTCTTATTTTATTGGAAAGAGAATGGATGACCAAACTGCATCAATGACCGTATCTTCTGTCACATACTCTTCACATTTACTTTGCACTTTCTCATCCATCAATAACATTCCACATTCCCTTCCCTGCCCTGCACATTCCATTGGGAGCTTCCCTTCCCCCACTCAGCCTTTACTGATGGCCCCCCTGATGTGTAAATCGTGTGGGTTCCTTATCCTATTTGATGCCTTTGTGGCTCTGATAAATTTCATGGCCAAACTCTCCAAACTTGTCCCTCTGATATCTCATTGTTCTAATCCATCTCCAATAATCCTCCTGATCCATCTAAGGAGCTTGTCCCCAAATGTAAACATATGTGTGATAAGATCTGAGGAATGCCTGTCAGAGACAGAACAATTTAAAAGATAGTCTCATACAAAATTAAAAGAACATTCTAGAATTAGTATGCTTCCTGCACTTGTTAAGAGTGACAGAGAATTAGGGGGAGTAAACAGACAACATTGTCCTTCCTGATAATGTCCCCAACAGGAAAATGAAAAATGAATGGGGAAAAAAACAGTTCCCCATCATCTAAAGTTTGATCTGATTGGGAATCAGTAATGTCACAAAGCTTCAGTAAAATGTCTCAGAGTTTAAGAGCTAAATTGTCTGCTCTGGGGTGAAAGCTTGGTCCACAAACAAAGTTAATCCAGATGAATAGTCAGATGATGTCATAGGAAACAACTTTTGATTATAGGTCAGAGCAACAGATAACTGAGTAAAGAACACTTCCTCCAACCCTGAGGAACTAACTTCTCCATTCAACCCTGAGGAGAGAAGACCTCCATCCAAGCCTGAGGAACAAACTTCTCCATCCAACCCTGAGAAAGGAACACCTCCATCCAACCCTGAGAAAAGAAGACCTCCATCCAACCCTGAGAAAAGAAGACCTCCATCCAACCTTGAATGAAGAACACCTCCATCCAACCCTGAGGAAAGAAGACCTCCATCCAATCCTGAGGAAAGAAGACTTCCATCCAACTCTCAGGAAAGAACACTTCCATTCTATTGAATAAAATGCCTAGATGCTATCGGGTGTCAGGATAGTCAAATTTCCCAACAATCTTACTTCTGTAAGATGTACATCCAAAGGAAAATTAAAGTCATAATCTTGAAGAAGTATCAGCACTCCCATGGTCATTGAAGCATTTGTCATAATATCCGAGATCTGGAGTCAAATCGAATGTCTGCCACTTGCAACAGTGTGTATTGACCTGGAATACATTATCTAATTGAAATGTGTTGTTGACAACGGAAGAACCAATATTGTGTGATTCCTCTTCTATTATGCAGCATCTAAAATAACAGTAGACAAAAGTTTACGTACAGACCATGGTAGTTACCAGGACATGAGGGAAGTTATAGATCAATGAGTATAAGTTATGGTCACCCAGGATTTATGAGTCCAACAGGCTGCTGAAAAGGGAATGAACATTAAAAAGTATGTGCAAAGCTGGGCATAAACTCATGCCTTTACTCACAGCACTCAGGAGGTAGAGACAGGGAGATCTCTGTGAGTTTGAGGCCAGTCTGGTCTACAGAGCAAGTTCCAGGACATCCAGTGTTACATAGTGAGGCCCTGTCTTAAAAAAACAAAACAAACAAAAAACCAAAAGAACTATTTGAGAATATATATCTCATGGTCAAGTGTTCTTATTACAACACAAAGCAAACAAAAGCACACTTTCAGAGTTGTTGGGTGTTTATTGGTCATATTGCCAGTTACATAAGTATATTTATGTATAAATTTTCCATATTACATATATGAATCATGTGTAGTTTCTCTATACCAGTTACCCCTTGATAAAGGTTGACAGTGAGTCTTTGATCTGCACCATCCAGACTTGCACAGGTGGAGTAAGAGGCTAGGAGATTGGTTTCTCAGGGTTGATGGGAAATTCAGAACTAGAAGCTTCCCATCTAATTTAAAGCAAGGACACTGAATAAATGAAGCTTGAGACCTTAAAAAAAAAAAAGAAAGAGGAAAAGAAATTTGTCATAAGAACAAATAAAATGAGACCAGGCTGCATGGCTCAGTAGATAAAGGCACTTATCGCCAGGCCCTGAGTTTGATTTCACCAGGGCCCACATGTTGGGAAGAGAAAATCAACTCCAGCAGGGTGATCTCTAACTGCACACATTCTCTGTCTCTGTCTGTCTGTCTGTCTGTTTCTGTCTGTCTGTCTGTCTCTCTCTCTCTTACACACACACACAAAGTAAATAAATAAATGTAAAATATCAGCTTAATATATAATACCAAAAGAATGTAAATTAAAAAGTCACAGTTTGAAGTAAATTGTGCACCACAAGACATGTTGTAAAATACTCAGCATCATCGTCATCAAAGGCATTCGAAAAGCAGAAGATAGATGTCCTTGCTAAACTGGGTGTGGACCAAGACAGCAAAGGGAATGTGTGGCCTGTAAATGAAAAGCAAAGGAGGAGAGTAATGTCATTAGAGAATTCAAACTAAATCAGAAGATTCCAAGCTCAGAAGGCCTACTAGGAGCAATCTATAGAGACTTGTCTAGAAAAGAAATCACTCAGAATGAAGCATGGACGACCGGGAAGAAGACGACTCATTAAAGGGATCACTGTGCCAATCAAACAAATCAGCGAAGATGGAGCGCAGTGTGTGAGCCTGGAGAAGACACCAACACTGGACAAAGAAACAGAATGACCAAGGGCAGGTGGCAAACAGTGTACCAACAAAAACAAATACATAATAACATTAACAGATTTATAAAACCCCAAAGTGTCTCTGACTAACACTATGGAACTTCAGAGACAAAAATACTAAGGAACCCTTCATGTCACTGTAGTGCTGGTTCAAATCCACTGCTTGTGATGTTGAGCAGGCTCAGTGGAAATTTAAGAGGGCACAAGAGATGGCTCAGCAGCTAAGAGTACTTGCTGCTCTTCCAGCAACCCAAGTTCCATTCCTAGAGCCAAGGTGAGGGAACTCAAAACCACATTTAACTCCAGAGTCAGACGCCATCTTCTGAACTCCACAGGCACTGCACTCAAGTGTATATATACGCCCCGCCCCCAACACTGGCATTCACATAAATAAAAACGAGTCTGAAACTATTATCCTAAAAAATGAAATACAAAGCATTTAGCCTGCTTCCTGGCACTCAGTCAGGAGAAATATGTAACCAGCAGTAGAAACCATCAAGCTGATCCCAAAGTTACTCTAGCAGCAGCAGAGAGGGTGAAGGAGGAAAGCTCTTGGCTAAGCATTCCAGAAGCAGCCAAGTGGTTAGTCTTGGAAAGAAAGGGAACAGCACACATGGAAGAAGAAGTTTTGAAATGCATAACCAAGGAGCAATTTACAGGAAAAGACCTTCACAGAAAGGTCCTAACAGTAGAAAAAGAAGCAAAATTAATGTGGATATATGAAATTAAAGACTCCTGGTGACTCTGCATCTCTTAATTCATTCCCTAACTCCTAGGAAATGCTAAGGAGGACAACACCTGTCTTAAGGGAAAATATCACAAATACTGAAGATAACCTCAAATGATTGGATACTGTAGTTCATTTGGAAATCAATCCATGACCTCCCTTGAAATACTTATACCACACACTTGTTTTACACATCAGTCTAAACTTAAGTAGTTTTGATTACTGTGACTACAATCAAAAATAAGACGCTAAATCCATGACAGAGTGTAGATATAAAATAACAACTTAAATAAGTTCACATATTCAAAGCAAGTCTATACACACACACCTCAGAGGGATGGACACACACACACACACACACACACACACACACACACACACACACACACACACACACACACACACACCAGGAAGTGAGGGTAAGTACTGGGGAAAACACTACAAAAGTATGCAAATGCATACATTGTCTCAACACCCCACCCACAGCACAGAATAAACGAACCGATGTAGCAACTTTGGGTAAGCTTAAGCTCCTGTGCAAACACAAAAGTGTTTAGAAGAATTAAAAATTTAGAAGAATAAAAAATAAAAAATATTTTAAATGAACATCATTTAGTGAACTAAATGCAGAATACAGACAGATGAATAAAATGTGGCGAAATGTAACTAGTGAATCCAGACAATGAGTGCTTTTGCTCATCATGTCATATTGTCAAGGATCCTGACTCTCCTCAACTCTACCCTTCCCTGAGCTTCTCTACCGTCCCCCCAACCTCTCTACCCTCCCCCAACCTCTCTACCCTCCCCTCAACTTCTCTAACTACGCCCTCAACTTTTCTATTCAGTAAAGCATTTTCACATAAAACAAACATCTTTTATGTGATGATAAAGACATGTGATGCTAAAAACAAATAGCAAAGTTTAAGTCATGAAAATTTATAAAAGCTCTTCTGTAATTGCTTTACTAAAATTAACAAATCTCAAAAGCATATGCATGGAGTACAATATTATTTGAAGATAGCATTTGTTAGAGATACACATTTGGACATCTAAAGCAAACACAAAATTTCAGAGACAGATGTAACTAGAAGTCAGTAGTGAAGAGAAAATGATTCCTAAAAACAATCTATTATTTCACTAAGAAGGCTAGAAAAATCATGGAAAATGGAAATCATGACTAGTTTGGCCAAAGAGAAAGCAAATAAATAATATTAAGTGTTCTTGGCCAACTCAGTTCAATTAGAAGGAGACAATTGTCAATTAGTTTAAAAGCAAGACCAAAGTATGTTGTGTAAGAGCCCCATTTTAGGGGACGTTATCACACGTTAAATGTCCAATAAATGCATCTGCGCTGAGTTCTTAGGGCTGGCTAGGCAGGCACTTTCACATTACTGCTCACTTTAAAAAATGTAACAAAATGTGAGTATATATACCTTTTAGAATACTGGCTGAATTCCTCTGCAAATGTAGAAGGTATTTGAGTTTACATTGGGTTACATAATAATCATATAAATTATATAATATGCCCAAAGGCAAAATTGAGGAATTTTAAATAATTGACTTTTTAATTAATTCCATATAATAGCATATAATAACTATTAAAAACTTTAAACATTGTGTCATTTGATGAGTTTTGGTCTTCTATACATTTATTTATTATTGTTGTTAGTGTGTGTGTGTGCCAAGGCTCACATTGTAGGGCCAGGGAACAACTTTGTGGAACGGGCGCTCACTCTCCTTCCATCCTGTGCAGGTCCTGGGGTCTGAACTCAGAGAGCCAGGCATGTGCAGCACACACCTTTACCCGATGAGCTGTCTTGACAGCCGAAGTCTGGCCTTTTGTAAACTTTACCATAGAAGTCGTATGTGTTTTCTGCTATCATTTATGTCCATTATCATTTTGAGGATATTTTTTCCTACAATGAAATATATATTCTTTAGTTGTAGCTTCTGTTTGGTTTTACTGATATATTTTACAATAATCTGATTTTTTTCAATTAATCTTCAATTAAGTATCTTATTATAAAGTCTATATTTCTGTTTTTAAATATAGAATAGTATATCACTTACAAATAAATTCTGCTTTGTTTATTCTTTTCCAGTTACTCTTCCGTTTTTTTCTTTTTTATAAGATACATTGTAAAGGGCCAAATGTAGAAATAATATCTGTCTATTCTGGACACAGTGGTTACAAAATAGAAACACATCCTCTACAGATCCCTCTAGTGGCTGGGAAGGGACTCCGGGGCTCAGAAGGAAGGGGAGGAAAACCTAGATGGATATGGTATACCTCATCTGCTAGAGCTCTGAAAACACTGTTGGGACTTTTTAGGTCAAGCCACTGACGTTTTAGAAGTTACCTGTTTCAACAATTAATGTCACCATAGTTCATAGAAAGAAAAAATTGAAAAAGAGAGTCATCCCTCATCCTGAGCAACATGGAAGTCCTTTGTTAACCAATCTATAATTTACACACTACTCCAGTTATCATCTGTAATAGTGTCTGAATGGGGACATGACAGGTATTTCTGCTTTGTCTTTAAGAACAAAAAATTTGACAACAAAGCTAAGAAAAGCTAAAAGTCGAACTTCATGAATTATTTTCTTACAGTCCAGGTGAGATGGCCCAGAAGAGTGCTTCCCTGGCATGTATGAAGCACTGACTGGGTTTAGTCCCTCGCTCTGTTAATAAACAGATGTGGAGGTGATGCATGCCTAGAATCTTAGCACTAGGGACATAGCAAGAGCAGGGTCAGAAGGGCAGGGTCATCTTTGGCAGCGTATTGAGTTCAAGGCCACCCTGGGACACATAAGTCTCTGTTTCAGTAAAAAGTAATGGTGCTGAATATATAGAGGTGTCTACCATAACAAAATCTGTAGTAGTGAAATATGTAAGTGGTATAGAAGAGAAATTTTAGTCCAACAAGGGAAAGATAGGTCAAAGTAGATCATTGTGTGCTTTACAGCAAATAAAGATGGACTAAATATTTCATTTAGTTCATTCATTAGTGGCTCTTGTTGAAGACCTACTATACGCCAAGCTTTATTCTGTCTCTGAGAGATACCACAGGTATGAAGAAGGAAAAATTCCCACCCTCACAAAGCTGTGTGTTAGGAAGATGAGCAGCAAGATGAGTGACTCTGTCCTAGCTCTGATGGTGACAAATGTTGAAGAGAGATGTGTGAAGCCATAAAATAGAAACAATGTTTAAAATCCCTAAGATCCGAATTCAGTAGACTGGTCCAAAACATCAGTGGACCTATCCCAAACCAGAACCTAGTTCTCTGTTTGAAACAGTCAGGTTCTCTTAAGGTGCTGATCTGCTCGTGGTGACATTTGCAAGAACTTCCTTAAGTAACCAAGATCTTCACTTATGTTTTAGGCTGAGTTTTTTGGGCTTTTAGCTACAGAATCACTGAATCTTCATAAAATCAAGATTTACCTAAAAATCAAGTTGCTTTGGCCTGAGGTTTCTTAAATGTTACACAAATGTTAAAACTAAAACTAGTGAAATTTTATTGCTGCTAACCAAAGCATGCAGGCCTAAGCCAATGTTGATAGACTCCATCAGACACAGGGACAAAAGGGACAGGCAATACTGGACCTCACCCTCTGAAGTCAGCTGGCACCCATGGTTGGATCCTGGCCACTCCCCCAGCTGTATGACTGCACATGCGCAGTTCAGTAGCCAAGTAAGGAGCCTTACATCCTATGTAATCCTTGCTTCACAGAGGAAAAGCACCACATTAAAACCAACACTGATGCTATGATGAAGCAGGCTCTCCCAGAGCTCTGCATCTGGGACCCTGTGCGGAGATCTACAACTGCCCACTTTTTTCATTTGCCCGGCTGCCAGACTGCTCCCCACAACACACCTGCTGCCCAGGTTGGTGAGTTTTCCCTTTCCAATTCCTCGCCGTTTCCCACGACTGTAGCCTGAGATATATTTCTAGCTGTTGGGGGGTGTCCTCCAGGTATGGACACCCCGGCCCTTACCGCTATTGTGACAAAGGGTGGGGTGACTAGTGCTCATTCACAGACCCTTCTCCTAACTTCGGGGATGCCTGAGACTGGGGTCTTGGATTCCGTTTGTTATTTTAATTTTTTTTTCTTTCAGCTTCAGTCATGGGACATAAAAGCTTCCTCCTCTTGATTCCACTCCTCCTCTGAGAAATGCCTTAAATATCCCTAGATACCAGTAAATATGGCTGCATATTCCACAGGAATTATCTAACTTCTGCCTGTGAACAGGCAAATGAAAAGAGTTACCTTATCCCCAAGTTTTTTACCTAAGCTCTGAACGCTCCCTTTCTGATTATCTCTCTCCTGCCTATATCTAACCTGAACCTGAGGAATCTCTGATTCTAAAAAACCTCGGCCTATCTGACCTCTGCTCTGCTCTCTGGTACTGGGCGGGCTGTTCCAACTGCCCAACCCTGGCTCCCACCTCCACTCTTACAGTCAGCTGTTCTTGAGCTGCCCTGAGTGGCATGGACAGGTCTGGAAGCAGGCTAGGATGCATGCAAATGAGTTTACAATCAGAACCCACATTGGGATCATAATAATCCGGATGGCTCTCTAGCAGAGATCAGTTTACAACCTGCCTCCTGGCAGGTCTTCCTAAAGCTGTCTTCAAACCAGCAAACTATCAAAAGCTAAGAAACAAAAAACATAATTCAAAATATGGAAAAAAAAAAATCTGTCCATGTCTCCCAGAGCTTCCTGACATCAGGGTTAACCTAAGCACCTGGAGAAAGGGCCCCTCACTCCACAAGCAGAAGTCTCAGCTGGGGCATTTAAGGTTCCATGGGAGAGGTGAGAAAGCCTGTGAACAGAATTGCCGAGTGCTGGCACACACTATCAGAGCAGCTCCATAGAGGCTTCAAGGTCCCTGTTTTAAGTGGTAGAAAAAGGTAGAAAAAGACCACACAGGCTTATTTGTGCCCTGCCTCATGTCAGCCATCAATTGAGCCTTGTCTGAAGTGCCACCAAGGGTGATACTGGTCAGCTGACTGCCCTCATGCACCTCGTGGCATGTGGACATCAAGCAAAGGCCTCCAGCAGACCTCCTAGGCCTGGCCACGGCTCACAGGGAACCCAGGATGCAGCATGGGGCGATCATTTCCTTCCTTTGGACACCAAGCCACTTACCCAGTCCTGAGGGAGTTTTGGGGTTCCACCTCTCTTTGTTTCCCTATTGTCGGGGTAGAGGGACAGCCTCACCCACCTCACCAGACCCCACCACTTAAATGTACTTTCAGGGGTACCTAATGGGAAGAGATTTTCCAGCTAAGGTAGGAGCTTTCGTTTCATTTGCTCCCCCCATGTGCCTCACTCCAGACCTGTCAGCAGTGCTTCTCCTCCTCATGCACAGGGACACAGACAGAGCCCTGCTCTCTCTCAAGTTCCAGAGGACATCAGGATCCACTGCCTTGTCCCCGATTCCAGAAGAATGAGGTCTCACCCCACAAGCTTTTCTTTTCCTGGTTCCCTCTCCTAATTAACTACTCAGCTAATTGTCATAGGATCACCACAGAGTATACGTCCAGGCGGTAAGAAACAGTAACAGTCCAAAGGTATTTACACCCCCAGACCCAAAAGCGTCTGGGTTCTTCAAAAACAGACTTTAATATAACAATCTATTACTGTTAGCCCTCAGCAAATGATCACCTGGGCCTCCTGGTTGCTAAACCAATAAAGGAGATAGTTGTCTTAAAATAATCTGTCTCAGATAGGGCTTACCTCAGGTAAAAATTAAAAACATGTTCCAAATTCTCTGTCTCTCTGTCTCTCTCTCTCTCTCTCTCTCTCTCTCTCTCTCTCTCTCTCT